TGTGCGTACGTCTGCAGATTGAATACACAAACGGGCCACATGTTCCATCCCTGCTCTTTAGCCAAAGTCATTTGTGCCAATGTCAAAAGTGATAAATGGGTTATGTGGCGCCTATGAGAGAAAGCAGTGAATTTTTATAATGTATTAAACAGGAGCGAGAGGGCGAGGAGACAGGCAGGGAGGGACGGAGGACAGGAGCGGAGCTGGGAAAGTGGGCTGTCATGCTGTAGTGCTGTGCTGTAGGCAGGGGACCTCTGTCACACACAGTTTGAGCCCCTGCTTCACATCTTTACTGGCGCCTCGTCTGTATTTCCCTCAGATATCCTGCCATCAGCCCCCCTAGAGCTCACAGCCGTCCAGCAAGGCAGCAGTGCTGGCAGACACAATATCCAGTGACTGCTCTGTCAAATGCATCTTATGGCGTGGGTGTTTGAGTGTGGTCTTGTTTTGCTGTCTTTGTGAGAGCCAGTTTGCATTTTAGACCTTCACATGAAGGACATTGTTTCTGTTTGAGGTCATTTTGGTTCTTCCTCATTTATTTTTTTTGTTTTTATTTGTATTTTGTTTTCAGTGTTTCTCCCCAATACACATTGTGATGGCTAAAAAAAAATGTACAGGATGCATTTCCTTCCTCATCAAACATTTTTCTGAATGTTTTGAAACGTCAGCCAATTACCGCCACCCAACGTTGATCAGTAGAGCGGTGTGAATATGTGGCACAGCTTGCTTGCAAGACTCATTTGGATTACCGCTCTTTGCAGTCAGGAGGAATGTGTATGCGTTACCTGCATACTCATGCACATATATACGGGCATTCCTAAAAACCACAGAATGCAAACAAAATGGAAATCTGCTTATCAACCAACACGTTCTCACTCCAAACTCAAAACAGGTTGATTTCTCCAGTCTGTGCCCTTGACCGAGGCACTTGCTTAGATCTGGATTTGGTCCCTGGACGCTATACAGTGGCTGTCCACTGCATGCTGATGCTGAGGATGAGTTAAATGCACTATACATTGTGCTGTGTATGATTGCATGTGACAGTAAAGTTGATTCTATTCGATTCTAACTTGTCAAATAGGGCCGCTTGGTCATTGGCCGGGACCTTCAAACTATGACAATGTAGGTACAACTTCCAATCAAGTTAGCAAGAACTAATATGCAATGTGCAGTTAGAGTTTCAGAATAAAGTTTGCATGGTTAGCACTGTGAAACAGTTTAGGTTACATTACTGGGTTGAGCCGAGTACTCGGCTGAAACGAGTATCCGGTACTTTTTTACAAGCACAAGTATTATACAAGTGATATGTGATATATGTCACTATCCGCACATGTGATGAAGGAAAATCCTCACTGGGTAGCTAAACTACCATTAACTACTTCTGTGACTGGCCAGTTACACTCAGAGCTCCGCCTCCTCAGCCACACGCACTGCTGCAGATTGTCTGTGTCCACAGGGATCAACATCAGCTCGCAACTTTTCTCTGCTTCTACACCGCCATTTACATTCACCTCGCTCCTACCTCGGTTTGTAAAATATCTTCAGCTGAGTTACATGGAGAACTCACAGCAGACGTGGCGTGGCAGTCGCAAATCACCTCTTCTACCATAATCTGACATTATCTCAGTAAAATAGCTTCACTCAGCTCACTGCTTACAGGTCAGTCAATGGCTGAATATGTATTTCCATTTTGACTCAACAACCAGAGCTGTGCACCCCACCACCTCCATATGTGGACTTTCAACCTTTTTTACACTACGTGATGACAGGCGCACCAGGTATGATGCTATAGATACCTACAGCATCCTATTTTTAAGAGGAGGGCCATATTGCTTGGTTCACCAGTGGTCAAAAATGCCACAGTGTACTTTTTTTTATGGTCTCTCTTGGTAATTCTTGTAAAATGTTGATTCAAACATTACCTTAGAAACTCTGGAAAATAGCAAACTAAGGCAAGGTTTCTTGAACCCCATTCATTTTCAAATAAAGTGCTTTTTTTTTCCAAAACAGTATAAGAATTGTATATTTCCACTGTCTCTTCTGAGTAAGAGAGTCAATTCCAAATGCATCCCATTGAAAAGCTCCTGGAAGGGAAACAATTGTGCACTGCTCTTTATTACACATGTGGACGTTAACATCCAACTAATTAGTCCTCATTATTTAAGTATTTATTTATTTATTTATTGTAATTTTTTTTAAATGTCAAGCAAAAATCCCATTGTTTTTTCCCAATCTGGCCTAGTACATTTCATGACAAAACATCTATGGTAATGTTTTGAGAAAACATATTGTTAAGTCTTACCAATCCCTTATCCTTATATTGTCATCTGGTCTCTCGTATGATGGATTTGAACAATTTTTGTTCTGCTGTGTGCAAACCAAAGGTGGTTATTGCATTTATGGTAGTTTTTCATCTGAATGATATATTGTATGTATGTGCGTGCGTGTCAATGCAGTATGTTCCTCTCAGCGGTTAATGATGTATCGCCTTGCCCTATTTGAGACAAAGTACGCACACAGTACTTATAAAGAGAGGTTTCTTCTCAGAAATGAGCTTTTGTGTGTGTGTGTGTGTGTTAGTGTGTGTGTGTGTGTGTGTGTGTGTGTGTGTGTGTGTGTGTGTGTGTAGGTGTGTGTGTGTGTGTGAGAGAGAGAGAGAGAGAGAGAGAGAGAGAGAGAGTGTGTGTGATTAGAGCTCTCATCCACCTGACATAATCCAATTATTCCTTGAGAGTGAGACGGACAATTTCACTGAAAGAAATGTGTGAGTGTGTGTCTTTGTGCTTATTGTACATATACTTTATCATTTGGTGGTGTCAGCTAACCTGGTTGATCCATTTCTATCAATTTTAACATGACAGCAAAGAAAATCATATCATGACACCAGTAGTAGTCATTTTGTTATACTTCTTCCCTTTATCTTCCGTTCATATAGATGTGCAACCCTGTCTTCACAAAATACATTCAAATGTAACTAATTTACAGTTGGAAAATATATTTTGTGGGAATCTTGTTAAATTTAACCAGCATAACAACAACATTGATATTGATTTTATTTATTTATTTTTCTAAAATGTTAGAAAATAAATCCACTCTTATGGCTTGTGCATAGACAGACAGAAAGACTTTCTTATTGCCAATGTACGGAGCCCCTAAAGGGACATGGGAAAAAAAAAAAAAGAAACGTTTCTAGTGCGCACTAGATACTATCTTGTGCGCACTAGATACTATCTTGTGAGCACTAGATACTATCTTGTGCGAAACGTTTTTTTTTGGTTTTTTTTCCCATGTCCCTTTAAGGGCTCCGTACCAATGAATGTAATTCAGTGAGCAATAATGTTTCCTACAAAATGAACCTGTCAGAATATTATTTGTATATAGACATTGTTAGTGGAAGATAGGGTTGAGATGTAATCACCAAAAAAACTTTGAGGCCGAAGTGGCTGATAGTAGAGTTGTGACGTTCACGAACGAACCAAATCTATTGAACAGCTCTTTAACATGAACAATGGGAACCGAGTCGCAGCTTTTCTTTTTTTTTTTTTTTTTTTTTAAATCGCTGTCACGCACAGCACACAAGCTCCTCCTTTGCTACTCCACTGATAGGGAGAGCATGCACAAAAAGGGGAGGAGCGCAGCAGAGTACATGTGGGGTGCTAATTTGATATGCAAATTTCGCATGACGTTATCTGAGTTGTCTGACACAGTGGCATACTGCCTTCACGTGAGTGCAGAGTGTCAGTACTGCAGCTACAATGAGCCAAAGAAAGCGTAGCAGCATTTGGATGCACTTTTCGGACAAAAAATGGCAAAGCAAAGTGTAACATTAGTGGTTGGCGGATAGATCCAAAATATTGATATATCGATCCAACGTAGGTATTGATATTGATTGATACCAGTGTAATGGGATCGATACTTTAGTTAGTATCTGATAGAGTGTATGAGTCAGTCACCTAAAACAAACCTGTTGATTGGTTATATTGATTTTTCCACCATGCATTTAAACAATAGTTAGTTGCAGCAGAGCTTGTAATCCATGCTGTTTCTTATTTACAGTATGACCTCTCTGAACCCAGTGATTACCATATCCATGCTCAGGGAGTAATGGGTTACATATTACGGAGTTATGTACTCAGGATACAGAAAAGCTGACTTTATTTATTAGGTCAGGTCAGATTACAGTTATATTTAATAAAAAATGGGATTATTAGCAGGATTACAGTTTTAAAATACATCACAGTACAGTCGTCCAGCTGTGAAAATGCACTATAGGTCTTTGCCTTAATTTGCTTCAGGAAAAGTTTTTCTTTAAAAATACACTGACACTATTTTGATGCTAAAATCTTGGTTTCCATTTTCTTTTCTGAAGTTACATTGTTCTGCTGTCTTATAGAATACATACGTTTCATCTTCTTTTCTTTTGTATTTATCAGATTTTATTTTATTATTGAGGCAATCCAAAAGTAACGGAAAGTAATCAAGTTACGTTACTTTAATATTATTGATACTTGGATTAGGTCACTGACTACAGTTTTTAACAGGTAGTTAGTAATGGAAAGGCATGACTTTATGAATGCATGAAAATATTCATAAAGTCTAACATTGTGTGGTCAGTTATAGTTGATGAATGTATGTAAACTTGCCACCATAGGAACAGTGGTTACATAACCTTCAGAATGAGCCACAACGTTACCGTGTTTGTGCACATGCTTTATAGGTGTGCTCCAGTACTTAAACTAAACATATAGCACTACACCTCTGGTGATTACTAACAAAATATGTGCTCAGTATGCTCATGTGTCATCGCTCTTCTGTCATCGCTATGGGGACAAATTTAGATTCAGTCTGTTTCAGCAGCTCACATAATGATGTCTGTTTGGCCAAGGCTGGTCAAGATTAGCATCAAGTCTGACATTACTCACAGAGAATTTGAGAGAGGTTCACACAGAGGTTTTTCCTTTCTGTAGCTCATCCTAAAGTCTGTCTTTTCTTTTTCCTAGAACGCAAGAAGATCACTCTGACTGTTGGAAACCAGCAGTCCTCCAAAAAAATCTACAACGTTGTGGGATACCTGAAGGGAAGGCGGAACCCAGGTTGGTACAAATGCTCCAGAGGTTTGTCTCAAAGCAAAAACTGTGTCAGTATTTGACAGAGTAGTGACATGGCCCTGCATTCTTTCAGCTTGTCACTCGATGTAGTTGAAGTCTTGTTTAAAGCTGATTACTTTTAGTTACATTTTATAAAATGTCATCATAATTTTAGTTTGAACCTAGTTTTAGTCAACAAAAAACATATATAATTTCTTGGTAAACTAAAATACTGTCAAGGTTTAGCTTCAGACCAGCAGCCAATATGCTGGGTAACATTAACTGTTAATTACGCCAACATTAATCTTGCACCGATTCCTCCAAATAAACACACAAAATACAGTCTAGACTTAATGTAGTATTAACAGTACACCCACATTCAGTCCTTTAAATAAATGTAACAGTAGCTTACAGTACTGACAGTCATAATGTTAGTGAAATGCAAGATGCTGCATAGCGTAACAGTAAAAGCAGCTACATCATCTTGTGAAGAAATCCTGCTCTCGTTTTGGTGGTGGAGATTATTATTTTGCCCATCAGAAGCACTTAGTGTCATCCTGTAGACATGTGTAAGTCATTAAGGCTTTGCAATAAAACAACAGTTAGTTAATTTGTCCTTCCTTCTTCCTATTGTTTAGTTTTTATACATTAAAGAAAATTAACACGTTTTAATATACTTTAACTTTTCAAAGGTTAGAGAAAGAAAAGTAAGTTAACATAACTTAATCCTCCAAAAAATGTGTTTAATAATAGTAAGTAGTTGACCTATTTTTGTTTTTTTTTGAGTTTATAAATCATAATACGAGCAAGTATGCATCCAAATAATTCTTAATGATCTGCCAAAAGATTTGATGTTAGTCACACATAAAACAAGTATTGTTAACAACTTAACTACAGTTGTTATTTATCTGAGATTAGTTGTTAGAAAATTAATTGGCCACCATTTTGATAATCAATTAATTGTAAATTAAGTAAATTCAACTTAAGTAAGGAACAAGCACTTAATTAATTCTCATTCTTACTTTATTCATATAAATAAATACTGTTAACACATTTAAATAAGTGTGGAGAAATTAGTCTATATATGAGTGTAATATACTTACTAGTTTTAAGTTCAATTACCTGAATGGCAACTTGCTTAATTTAGAGTTAAATTTAGAGATAAATTTAATTTATCCATAGACACTTACTTTGTTACTTGTACTTTTGTTGTTTTATTGTACTGTATTTTTCAACCTTTAATTGTTTAAGTTAATACGTTTAAGTGGTTTAGGACAATCAGTTTCCTTAAACAGTTTGAGTTGAATCAACTCATATGGTTTTGCAGTGTACATTGCTCTGAACTGGAGACTGATTTGTTTCACTTAAGGAGAAAACAGAACCAATCAGCTTTCAGTCCATGGGTGTTTATGGTTATCGTCAGACAGAGCTCACATCCTCTATCTTTTATATATTTATGTATAATGCACTTTTCTTCTTTGATTTGTAAAACTTTATCCTTGATCAATGTCCCTGTGTCTAATATTCTAAAACTTGATCATACCAATTTAAAAGTATAAAAAAAGTATATATATAAAGTGTTTGGCGGTACAGTGTACTTTATTGCACTGGTGTTCTCTCTGGTTTCTCCGATTTCTTCTCTTTCTTTGTTCCGATAAGTCAGTGTCCACAGCTATAGTATACAAGTTGATGTGATTCAGTTTGAAAATTAAACGTAACTTGCCTCTAAAATTAATATCAGTGGCTTTTCTTCTATAAGTGCCTGTCATTTTCAGCGTGTTTCAGAAGAGTATGAAAGAAAAAAATCAACACTTCACACATTCGTCTTTCAGTTCAGGAACAAATTACAGGAAGTAGATGTACAATTCCAGTGTTCCATAAATACCCTCAGTCTCAAGGTGCCTTTTAAATAGAGGAGGCGACCAGAATGTTCATGTGTTCATGACCAGACATCTGAACTGCTTGCTGGTCAGACAAGGAGAGCAGTTTGTGGCTGTGACAAAGGACTGCAGACAAACCAACTGCTGCTGACAATATAATGTTCCTACATGAAATTGAACTTTTTCAAAGAAATACTTGTTAATGAGCTTGCTATATTAAAAAAGCTATATTAAAAAAGAAAAGAAAATCAAAAAATATATAGCAAGGATAAACATGGAAAGATACTAAGGATAAAACAGGTCTTTAAATAATAATATGAATACATTAGTTATTAAATGGACTATGCATATTTGAGGACTTGAATATATATTATGAAAGAAGGCACAACAGTTCAAATTAGCATATTAATGATTTCTGACAAGATGACTGCAGCTTACCTAATAAGAAGAACTCAATAAGAGTCTAGGTACGTACTGCTTGATCTATCTTCCAACCAGCATTCTGCAAAGAGCTGTGCTACTGTGATTTGGCTAGTGTTTGTCTCCTTTGTTGGTTTGGTTGGTTAGTTTAAGGATGAGGGCGGAGATGGTAAGGGTTAGAAAAAAGAGTCAGGGTCTCTGTATAAACACAAAACCAGCACAGAAAATGGCCTTCTTAAAAAGGATAAAGGCCAAAAGTATGAAGGTTAGGGTTATGTTATGGTTAGGGTTTTGCAGTTTTTTGGTCCGATTCAGGCACTGCCCAAAAGTCCAATGTCTACTAACCTTTTACCTCTGTTCTTGCTCTCCACCAACTATTGCAGGAAATATCATCTGCCTTTTGCTGCTGCATAGGTAGTGTACAGTGGATTTATCAGAGCTTTTCTTTCTAAAAAATAGCTGCCAACTACTGCTGTATAAAGGTTGGTAAGAGCAGAATATGAGAGCTGTAAATGCACAACAGTGAGCGAACTAAAAATCTCTGTATCACTATGTAGAAATGTCTGTAAAAATGGCAGCTGTGGTTGCCAGAACTTTACCATAATAAATATGGTAGAACTTTTCTATTACTACAGTCAAAAGATAATTAGTACTTTTTACCATCAAAAGAAGTTTTGCCACATGAAAAAACCATACGTAAATTTACTTTATTAAAAAATAAAATCGCCATAAGATATGATGGTGGTTTTCTGTGCGATTTACAGTCTGTAACTGTACTAATAACTACTTTATTCCATTTCAAATAATTTAAAATGCTGTATACATAAAGATTTTGCCATGAGATATGACAGTGTTTCACAGAAATTGTATTTGACCTATTTGGAGTTTACAGTCTTTTACAGTCATGGTTTGACAGACATTTTTTACAGTGCTCTTTGAAATTACACTTTAGTAATTTAATTAATTCAATGATACCTTAAGTTGTCCTGGTATCTCTTTGTCTTCCCATCCCTGTCTTTTTATCAGTTTATTTAAAGTCAAGGCTTCTTCATTATAGCTCATTAATGAGATGCACTGAGTGGCTCATAAAAAACCCTTTAATTATCAGTCAAGAAAAGGTTGAAAGGTTCTGGAAGTAACATACTAGTATATGTCTTTTTTATGTTCTTTCTTCGTTTTCTCCTTCCGTACCAGTCCTGTGTCAGCTCAGGTCATTTCCAACCACATTATGTCCTATTTAAATGGCAGCCCAACCCCTTCTGCTTAGCTGTTTTTGCCCTTATCCTTTTTTAATTGTCATTCTGCAGAAGAGACCCTTTATCTTGTCCTTGCCTCGCCCCCACAATCGTCCTCCTCTCTCCCTTCTACTTGTAGCAATGCATTGCTACTGTACCTGTCCTGTCCAGTCGCTGGTGGAAAATTACCTTGCTGATTTACAGTGTGATATTAGGCAGCCATAATGGGCCACTAAAGCAGATAATACGGGCCACAAATCTCTGGAAGGAGCGACACTTTAACTGGTTGTTGGCGTTTGATCGTCTGTTCCGTGCTCATTTATCTCAACCCTAAACCGAATGAATATTCACGCACATTAACAAAGTATGTGAGTCATGGAGTTGTATGAATTTGTGCATTATTGCTATATGCAAGCAATGCTCACAAACAATGTTGTTTGCTTATGTGGGGAGAGAAAATTCTAAATGAAAGCAGTCCTGTTGTTTCACTCTGAATTGCCCAACTCAATTAGCACACAAATACTACACAGTCCATGGCAGGGTACTGAATACACTAATTTAAATAACTCACAGAGAAATATGTTCTTACACAAGCAGTTTTGCAAAACAGATTCAGCAACATTGAATAGCAACAACAAATGTAGGAAGTGCATTCACTGATTTAAAATAGAAGGCATATTTAACTTACATTTATTTGAATCATATTGCTACCCTATTTACAGACCATTCCAGTTGTTTTTTTAAAGGTCCAGTGTGTAACATTTAGGAGGGTCTATTGTCAGAAATGGAATATAATATTCATAGGTATGTTTTCATTGGTGTATAATCACCTGAAAAGAACAATTGTTGTATTTTTGTTTCCTTATAATGAACTGTTTTTATTTATAGATGCTGTGGACTTCCATGGAGTCTGACATGTTGAACTTCTATGTTCCTACAGTAGCCCAGAAGGGACAAACCAAACATTGGCTCTAGATAAGGGCATTGAAGTTTTTCACTCGTTCCACGGCCACCGTAGTTTCTTCTTTGAGATTTGAAGGGGAGGGTGAAGCGACAGAGTTGTAATGAACAACTACACCAATAAAAGCCTTAAATCCTACAGTGGACCTTTTAAATGGAATTTAATGACTGAAATGAAACACATTTTTTTGTGTTCTAACCAAAGCCAACTGATATTGGTATTTGGAAGTTAAAACAATCCAATACTAACAATAATGCAGTTGAAAAACCAACTTGTCAGCAATTTCTGGTGGATGCTGTCTCTAAACGACCTCAAACCCTGTACGGCATTTCTATACTGCAATTTCTTGTTACCAGTTGGCCAACATACATATGCTGAATCTGCAATAAATAAGCTCAAATCAGCAGATCTTGGCATGTTATCGGGCTAGTCCAGACGACTCATCTAATACGAACTTTGTTGAAAGCATACTGAACCCTTTGTAGTTCCATGTTCCAACTTTGACAATCACACAGCTTCACTGTTGAAGCAGAAGCACACATCCTCCTCTCATACTGCCAACAAGGCCTTGTTATTAAATTTACAATTTTGGTTCTAAGATTAGCTTGTCAAACTGCAGGGTGAATGTAGAAGCAAAACAGGAAGCTGTTGCATGTAGACCACATTACATTTGTGATACCGACTATACTCGCTAAATTGTTGCTTAAATGTGGCCAACTGAGCAGTTCCTACTGAATCCTTTACAGTGGAACAATAAAGTGAAAGAATATCAAATTTGACATGGAGCCCTGAATTTTAAAGAATGTAGATATGTAAAACATTAGCTTCAAATCAACATGCCAGCATCAGTTAGTTTCACTTACAATACCAGATTCCCCTAGTCAATGCTAATTTAAAGAGTTCATTTTTACAGAAAAACGCATACAAGCACCTGACTTATGGAGCATTTCTTTTTCACAAGACTTTGTGTGTACAAATGAAGTTTACTCGGAAGAAAACATGACAAATGCTACAGACTACATTGAAAGGATAAAGTGTAAATCCATGGAGTGGCATGGAGTAACAAGCGGTCAGGTCCAGAGAACCGTACAATGGCAGAATAAAGAAAAACGGTCACAGATCATGTCAAAATACCAGTGACTGCACATTGGCAGAGTGTCGCTGCTACAGGGATAGACTGTATACATACAGAACCTACGCCACATTAAGGAAGGGTCGCTGCAATTAGAAGCTCTCACCTCTGGCATCCTGCCACATATGAGGGTGACTCAGACGTGTACGTTACTCCTAGCTTTATAACTGCTGCACTCGGCTTTGGTAGGCCCGGGTCAGGTCCATGCATCCACAGCTCATGTGGCAGAGGCATGGCACATTTGTGAGTGAGTGCATTTGTCCACCTGGCTCTGTGTTTTCTTCCCGGGGAGAGGGATCTGTGGGCCTTGCCTCCTGTGTGTCATGGATGTCTGTGCACCTCAGCAGGTGTGTGTCGTTGGGTTTTGGTCTTTCTGATGTTAAACATTATCCACAGAAATGATCAAACTGTCATGGTGTATAAGTGGACATTTTTTCATAGACATCACAGTAACTGGATTGGAAACTTTGTTTAGAAAACATCTGGCGAGTTTCAGTACTTTGACGTTAGAAATCACCAAGTTACAGAGCCAGATAAGAGTTTGTGGCAGGTGCTGGTAGGAAGATTTTTGTTACCTTCAGATAGAGCTAGGCTTGTTGTTGCACCGATTTCAGTCTTTATGCTAAGCTAACTGACTATTGGTCATCTATTTTCTCTTGAAACTATGTTCATGATAATAAAGGAACACAATAGTGTGTTTTTAATAATTTTAGAAGAACTGTGGAGATTCGTGCTGACTTTGGATACAGACACACACACACACAGTGAGATCGAGAGCTGGATTATCTTTTTTCATGGGATTATTTATAAAAAAACTGGTGCCTGCTAAACCATTAAAGGTTTATCCGGGCCGCTAGCAAGAACACCACTTCATGGATTAACTAGCTTTTATTATTATTATTATTATTATTATTATTATTATTATTATTATTATTATTATTATTATTTATTTCTTATAAATGCTTCATTTAACATTTAGTGTGTTAATCCTTTTTGAGTAATAAACACACCCATAAATGAAAAAATAAAGCAAATTGTATTTTCACATGTGAGTGATTTGAAGCAGTTTACAGTAATGGCTGATTCACCCTGGAAGCTGCTAATATATTGTCAGACTCTGAGGCTAAGCTAGCAGGCTTCTCTAAGCACTTCTTTTCTCAAATAAAGTCATCAGCGCTCTGTGTTGGAGTGATGAGGTTCACTCTGTTCTTCTCTTCGCCTGCAGGAAGCTGCTTTGTGCATCTATACTCAGCACGGTCTTTGTAGAAAATGGAAGCCGTACAAAGAAGCCCGGGGCATTCATGTTTGTGCGTGAATGTGTTTTCTTTGAAAACCATGCTTAAGCCCTGTTCTTGAATACTAGTTTATGAACTATAGTATTATACAGTTTCCTTTTATAATTCTCTATTTATGAGTCATTAGTCTAGTACAATGACCTCTATATATTAAAGAAAATGCATGAAGGAGAGGCTTTATAGGGTGTCTGGATTTATTGTTCATTTCCATACAAAACAAGTGTCACGGTACCAAGAATTAGAACTAGAACATTTGAAATGAATCCCTCAATGATCACATGTGTCCCTGAAGTTAAATCCAATAAAATAAAACAGATTTTAAGGTGTCAAGAGCGGATAAGTTCTAAAAAGCAGTAAGGAGGACAAACAGCCACAGCACTATGACCTTATATTGAAACCTTTAACCTCACTTTTATTCATTACATCCATTATTAGGTAAAGTATTGTAAATTAGTGTTTTTTGCATGTACAATTAACATTTGTGTACATGTATTTATTAAACACAACAACAAGAAGTGTTTCCACTTGGCTTTCATGAGGATTCTGTTTGCCTTCAGCTCCTTAAAAGAATAAACTCAACATAGAAAGGATTGCTGTAAGTTTGTTCCACATCTGGTAAACTCACTCAAGTGTCATATGCCCAGGTTCTCCTACCAACATCTGAATTGAGGAAAAAGGTTGACAACCACTGATCTGTAATTTTTTTTTTAATTATCAAATTCTATCTTTCGGCCACAAATTATTCAAAATATCACATATTATATATTACGATTTAATAAGAATGTGGAAGCAAACTGTATCTCCTGCGTTGCAAAATGTGGACTCATTATATGTTTTTTTCCCTCTAAGACTCCTGTGGGGCTCTGTTAACTTCACATCATCTACTGCTCTTTACATAAGACAGCAGCACTATGTCTCCCTTGACGAGAACTAGAAACTGCCTAGCAATACGTTAAGCTATTGTCTCTTGATTTATTAAATGTGGACACAAGTAAAATTTATAATAAATATGGCACAGTGGCAATATTCAGCTACAAGCAAATAAATAAATGCACATATTAACCTTCACTTTTTTATTTGTTTTCAGATCGCTACGTGCTGGTTGGCAGTCGTCATGACAGCGACCAGGGAGGCGGGGCTTCGGCTATTATGAATCAGCTCATCGCTGCACTGACAGAGCAGACCAAGCGAGGATGGGTGCCCGACCGTACTACTGTGTTTTGCTCGTGGGGAGGCTCAGCCCTGGGGAACATCGGGTCCTATGAGTGGGGAAAGGTCAGCAAGCACAAGAGCATCTGCTTTATTAAATGTCAGCTTAGGGCTAAAAAGGTTGTGGCTTCTGGAATGATTTGAACTGAGGCAGATGTAAAAACACAATAAATGAAAATGGGTACTGGCATACTATATTGGAATACTGCACATAGTGTATAGGGATCTCCATACATATAGAGAAACCTTTTCATCTCTTCAGAGCTGGAGCATGTTAGCAGCTAACAGCTAAAACACTAAACAAGAAGATGATAGTGTACTGATACATGAATACTGGCTAGTTGGAATGTGACTGCGCCTTGTATATCATTTTTTAAAGTGGCCACAATTAATTACAAGAATAAAGAGGAGAGCCAATCAAAACGACTGTATTCTCAGTTCAAGATAGGGTTGCTGCAATCAGAACATATTGTTTGGATTGAGTAGGTCTCATTTATGATTCATTATTCTAATTCCCATATAACCCAGTCCTGATGCCAATGATAAAAATGCGTAGTTTACGACAAAAACATGTTTTTCAAATTAGAATGCCATTTAGGTTTTAATCTGATGGTTTGAAATGAGATGAGCAACAGCATAAGACAAAGAACGACAGGACAATAATGTGATCCGTAGAGCTGGAAAGGACACTTTATGTGGACTTGAGATCATGGTGATAATGATAACATGACCAGTGTGATGGCAAAAATGATAGATTATTATTGGGAGTGAAATGATGTTAGCCTCTGTGTGTGTGTGTGTGTGTGTGTGTGTGTGTGTGTGTGTGTGTGTGTGTGTGTGTGTGTGTTCCTCTAGGATAACAGTGTTGTCCTAAAGAACAGTGCAGTGGCCTACGTCAGTCTGAACTCTCCAGTTAGAGGGACAGAGACTCTCAGAGCTACAGCTTCTCCAACACTGCTGCAGCTCACTTCAGATATACAGAGAGTAAGTATAACTGCTACTAGCACTGCTATGACTGCTAACATCACTGTCGGTATCCCTCTGGTGTCATTTCTGGACGCACCCGCCATTGAACTTAGTATTAAGAGCAAGAAAGTCTGCATATGGAGGTGGCAGGGTGGATGGATGGCTCAAACCAACCAGACTTTTACCCCAGAGACTGCTGTTCATGTGAAAAAAGAAGTAAACTATTTATTTGTAAGTTGATATTTGTAACATACTTATTCATGTCCTTAAGTTACGTCAGCTACATACTTATGACCTTTTCCTAAATCTAACCAACTTTACATATTGTGAACTTGACTGCGGAGCTACGCGTGACAGAAATTACACTAATGACAGGGATTCCTACCGTGTCAGTTTACCTGCTAATACTGCTCCAAACTTTTCTTATGCTGCTACTACAGCACACCTTAGATATGGAGCATAACCTGCAATACTATTAGTGTAACTCATGGCTACTGTATAACAAGCAATTTTCTTATATGACCAGTTATATACATGACTAATGGGATTCTTCAGACACATTAACTAACAACAAAGCAAACATTCCGTCAAGATAACCCTCCACCATCTAACAGACAAATACATAAACAGCCACAAATAACATACAAAAAGATATCACACAATAGAAATACAACAAATGCACTAACAGAACAAACAACAACAAACAAAGGAAATGTTCAATAGAAAATGGCTAAAACCTGCTTAAGGTGTTGCTAGATGCTGTCACAGGTTAATTTACATGTGCGGCACTGCATTACGTAACAAATGCCATACACATATACCAGAGATTATTTTTAGTGAAAGCAGAAAAAATCAGGTTCCCACTAAACTGACTCTTTGCTATTATTATTCTGTTTCAAGATGCTGCTATGTGCATCTAAATCTACCTCAAACACCTGTTCGAGGGCTGTTGTACAGACTGTGGAATTGAAAGATCTTGATCCAGACCCTAGAATAGACTCACTGCTGTAAACTCTGCATGAAAAAAAGTCAAGTTACATCATTTAGAACAAAAGCATAGGAGAAGTTCTCTGGACAAACGGTGGGGATTAGTAATTGGTTGTTAGGAACTCATTGATTCTTCACATTTCTGTCTGGCAGCTGGCTGAACGTGCAGCTGTTCTCTTCTACTCAATGAACTCTACATGACGACATTAGTGCACATTGACTGAGGACTATTGGCATCTCTCTCCAAGGGAGAGGAGCTATGATTTGTTGAGAGGTTGTTGTTTTTTTTAATGTCACTGTAATTGTCTTAAGTTGACAAATTTAGTGAGAAAGTTGCTAAGTTGGAAACACTGGGCCAAAATCTTCAGCATTTTGAGGAGATACAAGGACTGATGATGATGATGAGGATGTAACTGAACGTGTTTGTTAAAAGATGCCTAATGTAAGGTGCCTTCTGAGTGTTTTATTATTTTCACTTGGCAGCTTACTACATGGATTGCACAGGCACTATTATGTACACTGGGGACCCAACTCGAAAGAGGTGTTTTTGAGTGCAAAAAGTGTGAAATTAAAGCCTCTGTGTGTGGAATTTGAACATGTCTCTCTACTTACATTTAGAATGACTCTAAAATTTGTGTAGTGTAGATTTTATGCAACATTAGTTAGACTGTGTCTTGTACACTATAATAGTATACAATTACTTCAGTTATTAATTGCCCCCTACTTATAGACAGTAACTAGCAATACTAATATGTCTATTACTGCTTGTACATCTACTTAAATTGCTACTGTGGCTACTACTGCTACCACTGAACTACTTCTACTACTATTACCATTAGTAGTAGTAACATTACCACTACAGTTACTATTACAATTAGTATTTTATATATATATATATATATATATATATATATATATATATATATATGACTACTACTGCTCCACTGTTACTGCCATTACCACAACTCTTGCAGATATATAGAGGCTAGTAGTGTACTCAGTATACAGAAGTACTCTTTTAGTAAGTAAAAGTAGCAGTACCACAGTGCAGAAATACACTGTTATAAGTAAAGTCATGCATTTAAAATTTTACAAAATGTAAGTAAAAATACAAAATTATTAGCAATAAATATACTTAAAGTACCAAACGTAAAAGTCCTCATTTTACAGAATGGCCCATTTAAGAATAATGTATATTGGATTATGATTATTGAAACATTAATACCGATATGTGCATCACTGGTATTGTAGATCGTTAATGTGGGGCTAATTTAAATTAATTTATTTCTCCCTGGGGATCAATAAAATCACATTCTCAATCTGAAAAGTAATCAGTAACTAAATGTATCTAATAAATGTAGTGGAGTAAAAATACAATAATTGCCTCAGAATTGTGGTGGAGTAGAAGTATAAAGTAGCAGAAAATAGAAATGCAAGCAGTACAAGAAGTACAAGTACCTCAAAACTGTACTTAAGGAATCAAGGAAATGTATTTATCATTATACAACACAAGATTGTAACAAAATGAAGTTTGCACTTCCTTCATGCTACATACATAGAAAAAGATTATTAAATTCATAGAATAACAGAAAGAAGTACATAAGTATATTACTAGAGTAAATTTACTTATTTACTTTCCACCACTACTAGAGGCTAACTAGAAATATTAAAATAATTCATACCCAAGTGTGTATATATATATATATATTTAGCCATTTCTAGTATATGATATTTACCAACACATCTTTAAGCTTTATTATAAAATACAGTAATAAAATAATAAACATGTGGAAACTTTAATAAGATATTGTAAAACTGAAGACATACATCATTTAATAATGATTCAATAATTATAGAATGTTGGACTCACAGTTTAACTCCATAATATATCATATTAGCAAATGTATTACAGTTTTTACTGCTGGGACAGTTTGCTAACTTTCTTACCAACTCTGCTGCCCCTATATTAGGAAACACCCTTTTGACTCCATGCTTATTTTACTTGTGTCAACGTTCCTAATTTTGTTCCACTTTAATCTCTTCAGCTCGTTGTTCTGCTCACGCTCTCTGTGTGCTCTGCTTCCGTTCACCTGCCTGTCACATGGTAGTTAACACAATAACGAGAGAAATATAATCACAAGAAATGGGGAGACTTTGACTATTATTGAAAGTATGTCGCCTGTTCTGTGAGAGGGGGAGGATGACACTCTCGATATGATCTAGGCTAAATAAAACTAACTTCACTCTCACCCCCATCCCACACTGCACATTCACACACAATCTGGAATGGCCATTCTACTGATTAAGTATAGCAGCTCTATGATTCAGCCTCCCAAACTGTCTCTTTATTCCAACCTGGGGGTGTTTTGCAGATATGTTAAACCCTTGCAGACATCCAAACTTTCACCATCTCTTTAAACTTTGAAAACTTTTGAAAAAGAAAACACACACCTCGTCATCACACTCTCTCATTTCTTTCCTCTGCCTCCACTGCCGCCTCCTCCTCCTTTTTTTTTGTTTTTCCCCTTCTCCCTTAAGCACTACATCCCTCTCTCTCGACATCCCTCTCTCCCCACCTTGTGCCCTCTCCTTCTATCACTTCTTAATCTCCTCTTTCATCAGCAGCAAAGCACTGCATCTCCCCACCCTTTCATTTCCCTCATTAAAATCTCCCTCGCACTTCTCCTCCGCCTCCTCTCTTTGTCTCCTCAGGTTATGCTATACGGCATTTTTATTTGTGTCTTCAGGTTAGTCACCCATCCTCAGGGAAGATTCATGTTCCTGCCAGGCGCCCAGACAGGTACAAGAGGTCACGAGTGGACAGATAGTACAGCGTAACATCCCTTTATTCCCCCGCTCTACCATAAACTAACTAATTAGTAGGAATGGTCCAGTCTACCTGTGACATTCAGCTGCTGCAGCCTCTGCCAACGCCACATAAAAAGAGGAAGAAAAAAGGAGACAGAGAGGAAGTAACTTCTGCTTTTGATGTTCTTTAATGAAATATCTTTGACAGAAAAAGAAAAAAACTCAGACAATGTGCTCACATGCTTGAGATTCTGCTTGTGCTAATCAAATGCATTCATTCTGTCAGGCTTCATGTTAAGCTTTTCATGCTCATAGCAGCAGCTTTAGTGCTATCTTCTTTAAGGAATATGGTGTACATAAACCGTATGCTCAGGCGTCATTCTTCCTGGTCATAAATACCCAGGGGACATTAGTGCTGCTGTAAATACTGCTGTAGGAAACTTACAGGAGCTGCTTCAGTCAGATTGGCTCTCTCTTCATTGCCCGAGGACAATCCCTCACTCAGCTCGACACTTTTTCAATTCAAATCTTGTTACCTACATCGGAATTGGCTATATATTGCTCCATATGCCCGCTTGGATTGACAGTGCGTCTACCCCACCTGTAAATTTCACACTGTTCTGTCTGAAAGCTGTCTTTGCTGCTGAAAAGCTCCATTTTTCAGATACAACAATAATCACCAACAGATTATTTAAAAGGTATATACTGTATATGAGATTTAAAACATCACACAGCAAACAACTATTTGCTAAGTAAAGATATAGTGGAGTCATGGTGTGCTGAGCAGAGGATGACGTCACAGTCCCTCTGTCTGTGTTGTTCTCTCAGCCTCTCTGTGCTTTGTTTACAAATGCAGTCTGGCTCGGTTCCTCCGTTTCCAACTGAGGGGAGCGACTGAAGCAGCTGTTTATCTCATTTACGGTGGTGAATTAAGGATTTATTTTGACCAAACCAGAGTTGGTGATTGTTGGAAGAGTGGAAAGACTAACAAAGACTGTTTTGATGGGTTTTATTTTGATTCTGTCTGCTTAGAATGAAGTTACGATGATATGCAAGTTAAAATTACTGTTTTACTGGTTTAACAAAAGCTCTATCTCTGTAGGGATCCTTTCCATAATGTTGTCAGGCACTTAGAATAACAATCGGAGTCTGTCAGTGGCAAAAACAAGCACTTTAGTGGACGTACTTTGATGGGCGATACATACATGGCTACAATAGCAGCC